GCCCGTCCGTTAGCCGGCCCCCGCGCCCGCCCGTATCCCGGCCCGCGGCCGTCCCTTAGCCGGCCCCGCGGCCGCCTGTTAACCGGCCCCGCGCCCGTCCGTAGCCGGCCCCCGTGCCCTGCCGTAGCCCCCCCCCCCCCCCCCCCCTCCCCCCCCCGGCCCCCCGCGCTCGTCTGTAGCCGGCCCACGCGCCCACCCCGTCCCCGGCCCGCGCCCGTCCCTTCGCCGGCCCCGCGCCTGCCCCGTAGTCGGCCCGCGCCCGCCCCGTCCCTGGCCCGCGCCCGTCCCGTCGCCGCCCCGTCCTCGCCCCACCTCCGGCCCGCACCGGCCCGCTCTGATACCATGTTAGAATGGAAGAATGACTAGAATGAGAGAGTACAAGGCAATATAGGCTACTGTGTTGTACCCTCTAAGGCACAAACCTATATGGTCTACAATAACATACTATGTTATGTTTGATAGACTTTACACCTTGTGGTTAGGTACTTGCGAGCCCACTTTGTTTTTAAGCGCTGCGACAAAATTCAGGTAGCGCGCGCGCGTTATGGCAAGACCCTTTGCGATAACAAATTCTTGTTGTGAAGAATACTACAGAGTACTGTCTGGGAGGACTTCTCTCACCTCCGCTCTAACAACCGCTCCGCAAGGGCCTCGCAAGCCACTAGCGCAACTCGCGCCAGCTTGGCTGCTGGCATTTCGCGTCAGCTCATCAGCTTTGATTGGGCAAGAGCTAATCAAACTTCGTCAGTCCTTCCCTCGAATTTCATCAGCTGATACTCTTTTGAAAACAAGACCATTTGACTGCAAACTTCTAAAGCTATATTTTGATGTCTTCACAATGATTTTCTGTCAAAACCTTTTTCGTACCACTGGCGCTTATCATTTTAATTTCATTACAAGCGCCCCATCGATTTCAAAGTCAGTTCACATATCCCAGTGATTATACGACATATGGGGGGTTTTATTATGTCTAATTCTATTGTTAGGTCTGTGCAAATTTACTCAACATAAGTGTTAATGGCGTAGTTTCAATAACTTCACTGAAGTGATGCTGGGAAATATATATTGTAATCGTATTATATCTACATGTGCCAAATCACACCTATGTTATAAACTAATTGATGAAGGCTTAAGCAACAAACTCACCAAGCTATTTCGGCCCAAAAAGACACGCTCGGTGTCGGCGAAGGACCAAGCCTGCATGACGGGCCTCCACTGAGGCCCGTTCTGCTGAGTAGCATTCCTGGTTGCTGCTCTTGCCCGATTCTATGTGGTATTGTAGTGCGTTTCTACCTCCTCCACCTAGTTTTCCACCAAGACGTGGGACAAGTTTCTTTCCTTGAGCAGGTGTACAAGTGGGTGATCTCTATGCGTGCGCATGCAGGGCACATAGTAGGGAAAAGGAAGGGGGAATAAAAATGGGGCTCAAGTGTATGTTGATGGTCTTAAGATTAGAATTCATTTGTTTTGAAGTATTTTTTAGTGTTGGGGGCATTTGGTTGCGTTTACCCGTTTCCTCTTTGTGCGTATTTTCTAGGAAGTATTCATTAAAGTGAAACAATCACTTCATTGCATTTTACATGATAATGCTCCACAACCCTAAGGGCCTGAAACATCGGCGTTCAAGATGGGTCAGTTCAAACAGTCACAATCTTGCACTACGCTGTACTTTACTGAACAAGGAGTAGCATGTTCAACATGTTCAAAGAATCCATTCAAAGGGCATATTTGCAACCGATGTTCCATGTAGTCTTATTGTCTCTTTCTGTTTTGGGTTGGGGAGCAACCTATTGCAACTGATGAGCTGTAATCTTATTTTCATGTTTTTTTTTTCTCATAAATAGTACAAGGGGTGACGATATCATCATACGGTTTCTTTTTAAATAAAGAATCAATATACGTATTTTTCATCCCGCCCGCGTACTCGCGTGCTCGCCAGCCCTAACGTAGTCGATGACATGTGGATCTACAGGGTGAAGCGCACCTGGAGAGCCGCCAAAGTTCAAGGCACGTAACGTGGCTAGAGGCTTCAGTTAGCGTGAGAGTGTGGACTTCTTCCATACCTTCTTTCCGACCCTGAAGATGACTACTCTTTGGGTCCTTCTCCACATATTTGCGCAGTGTAACTACGAGCTTCACTCACTCAACTTCTCCACAGCCTTCCTGCAGGGTAGTTTGCACGAGCATATCTACCTCCGACACCCACTAGGCTTCTTTGGGTCCTTCCCACCTGGGATCTAGTGAAGCCGGCGTCGCCCTGTCGACAGCCTTCGTCAGGCACCTCGTGAGTGGTCGCACCACTCTTGCTGAGCTGCAGTTCTTTCCATCCTCTGCTGACCCCTCTCTCTTTGTTCGCTCGGGTCAGACCTCGTTCTACATCCTAGTGTAATGGCGCTCGTAATGACGCGCGTAATGACGTCAGCCGTAGTGAGTCAAAGCGTCAACGGTAGGTTCACGCATATAGTCACCCGAAGGGTCACGCCACCCAGTAATACGAACAGTCACTAGTCATGTCACACGAATAGTCGCAATACACTACGAACAAGTACATCCCATATAGATACTTCCTAGGCTGGCGTGAGCGGAATTTTTTCCCTAAACCGGACAGGGATTTTCTCTCATCAAAATTCGTGGAACCTTTTGCCTGCAACCATTGGCTAAACGTGGAACTCAATTGATGAAACGTATTTCGAACTCCCTAATTCTGATCGACCTTATCGCTACTCTGACCGTACGTATTAGCGGGCCCCGTAATAAAGAGCACGATATACAGTACTCTCCATGGTCAACAGAAATGAACTGTAACGGTTGTGACACTCTTTTGTGTCCTGACACCGCGTGATCGGCTGGACAAAAGACCGCTTACTGTACAGTAGAACCTTCCATGCGACGATTGGACGCTTCCTGGGCTTTCACTAACAGGGTAATTGTTCTTAATGTCGAGAAACTAGTTATACTTTACGGCTAGATTCCGCTATTTTCTAGAGTACTAAAAAACAGTTCTGTGTGATTGCTTGATCCCGTCTGGAGTAGGCTGGTAGGGGAAAATCTATCAGTGTCGATAAGTTTAACCCCTTACCATATTTTCCCCCCTCAACTACTGACATATGGAAGCAGCCCATTCCCTATTGTTTTTATGCTAGGCAAGGGTTGGCATTTCGTTCCCGATCTACCTAAGAGTTTGAAAGGATAGCCGTGGAAAATGTACCTTCTCTGTGAGACTGGATGTGTAGCACAAAGGAGATGTTCTTTCATTACTCGACACAGGGATGTTTCCTGAAGTTCAGTCTGCGACCGGGTAATCATGGGCCCGTTCCCTTTTCTTCACGAAATTCCCTACAGCTTAGCGAGAGCCCTCACCAAGACCATATATCTTTACCAGACCTGTTGATGCACCAGCCACAGTTGGGCAGGGTGAGCGTAGATGCAGAGTAAGGGTTTAGATGGGAGACCTCCTAGTTTTAAAATGTTCAAAATGTTTCGACACTATGGCTTTCGCTCTAAACGAATGGTAGTGTTCCCTTTCAACCACGAGCGAATTTGAGGGGAGACCGTTATCGCTGAAGTCTTCGGGTCGACTTCATCCCCCTGCCCCGTTTGATTCATGAAGGCTGGTAGCCAGAATGGAAGGCGAAGGGGAAGGCGAGGCGAACTGTGGTTGTGTGGAGTGATGGCGACTAGATCTGCCGAAGTTCTGTACTTCGACACAGTACATTGCGCGTGCATCCGCTAGTGACAGCCCATACTGCCCTAATTGACACAGCCCAGGTTTGGAGTTTGTCAGCCAGTGTGCCCAAAGGAGCCGACATCGCATTCCCCCAAATCTGTCGGCCAAACTTTTCCCCACAAGTCTTCGCTGCCCCTTTTCCCAGTATCAGGGGCTTACACTAGAAGAGTACACTTCGCTCGCGGTAATTGTACACCCTGAAAGTAGGCGGAAAAATATTGTTTGTTTCCACTCGGACCATTTCTGAGTGCGTAGACAGTACTCACTTGTACCTGCGGCCTAAGCGCGGCAGACTCCACGCGTTCTGGATTTTTGTTTCTGCCTACTCTGACGTCGGGTTTCCTGACTCGAGAAACACTAAATCGAGCAGTAAACGTTTCGTAAAGGAGTATCCAGATCTGGTATGAAGGAGCTGCTTTCTGGGGGTGATTACCCTCTCGGTGGCACCCCATGTGAAAATAGTGGGTATTAAATGACCGCTGGCTGAGTGTAAGGAACACTTAATGTTTAGAAATTAAGCGTTTTTCGGGGCTTGCCCAGTGCGCAGAACGCATGCTTAGCAGGGTGAATTTTGGAAGAACTCTGAAATTTGCCAATCCATGAGGCTGCTGCATTCCATGTGCCACTGCTTGGAGGAAAACTTCCAGTCATTTCCAGGACGCTGTGCATTTCGAATAGCTCCGTCATGTGCGCTTAAAATAGTAGTCAACATTTTCCCGCCGCGTGTCTGGGGTTGAGAGGGGTGTGAACATTTTCCGCCCTCGCAAACCGTCCCTGAGCCCGTCTACCAGTCAATATTAGCGTCGCTTATTCATTTCGCACGGAAACTGAGTGACCCTCTTGACCCCCGTTCGCGAACGGTTTTCTGGACAAACTGATGCGTACAATCGCAATTATTTCGCATCTGGCCGTCCGCTAGTATCGTGCACGACCCACTGCGATTATTTTCTGACGCCCTGCTGTCTAGGGTCGCGCAACAGCAGTTACGTCCAGCTGTCCCTCGGTATAGCTCACCCTTCACTCAGCAGTTGCGCTGGGCCTTCAGCGACTCAGTGTCACGCGTTAAACTGTTGGGAGGATCCCTCGTCAGGAAAATTCGTTGATGGGCTTGATCTTTGCTGCGTACCTCGTTACCCGAGGCCCACGGTTCTGTACAAACGAAGCCCGTATGGAGAATCGTATGGTGTCAAGTAATTTCGTTTTCAGGCGTTTGACACAATGAGCGAGCCCTTTTAACGACTTGGGAGTCGTTAATCCTCCTCTGTCCTTTGCCCTGCTTGGGTAAATCGCCGAGTCTGGTACGTACAGTCGCAGTGCGCCCAGGCAGGGTGTGCCAAACTCACAAAGCTGTTTACTTTCCCCCGTACCTTGCGCTCGCTACTGCTCGTTCATTACTCCTGTTGGCTGGACTATTCTGCTCTCTAGACTAGACCATCCTTTCATCTGCTTCCTTGGGGCGTGTCTCAAGCGTACGTTTTCGGTCTATACCCTTCCATTTCACACTGTTATTTGTTCCATTCGAAAATCAACCAACTCACTCTACCGCAAACCGACGTACGCTTTGGACAAGCGCTTATGATGTTGCTGCCAACCAACCTCTCTCTCAATTTTTGCCTCGTCCTCGCGCCACCATGACTATCTTCGCTGGCAACGGCTCTGCCACGGTGAATCGGCTTCAGAAACCTAGCTTACTAAACCATAGCGCTGAGTAGAAGAAAATGACAGCCACAGACGCGCCGCAGGGCAACCTGCTGTCGCTCATACGAGGGGGCCATGTCGTCTCCATATGGCACGACATTCTCCTCTTCACGGAGATCGCAATGCGCACATGCGTCTCGCCATCCACAGAAGTAGCTAAATCTGAAACTGATAATAGTTGTAACACCAGACCCGACAGTCAAACTGTGAGTGGGAGTGCGTGCGGCGAAGCCAGCGCGAAAGCCCTTGGGTCCTCGTGGAGTGGTAACCAGGCTTCCTGCTCGAACTCTCTCAACCGTCGCGAAAGCGAAACCTCTTTGCTTTCGGAGAGCAGCGGCGAGTCCGACGGGTTACCTCCGACCGTTACTTTCATTTGCACGTCTTCCAAGTCCAGCTCGCACGCGCTGCTGGAGGGCGCCGCCTTTTCCAGATCCCTTGCGGGCCGCAGGAAGCGGCTCGACCTGGATGGCACAGTGCGTGTGGACGACAGCGAGCCGCGGCCCTGGAATCTCGGAATTCTGCCGCAGACATGCGTTCTAACTCCCGTGACGCCGGCCCCTCGTCCCCCTCTTGCCACTCCTCCCACCACCCCGCCGGGAGTCTCGACAACCAACCAGCTTTCGTCAAGGGTTCCTGCTTTGTCTCCGTCACTTGCTCCCAGTCGGCCTTGCACGGCACCCCCTAAGGCCGTCGTTGGGACTTCGAGTCGCGAGGTGCCTCTTAATTCCTCAGGATGCGTCGGCCGTCACGGTGATTGTCAGGTTACCACACTCCAATCGTCGAGCTCGCTATGGAAGCCCGACTCTTCAACAGACGGGTCAGCCGGGTCGTGCGGCAAATCCGGTAAAAACCGAGGGAACATCGGCCCGTCGCTAGCAGAGCTGTTCGGGCCGTCACGGTGGGAAGACTCCGAGACCCCGCTGGTGATTTTCGATAACGCGCCCATAGAGGCGATCGACGTGGGCACGCAAGAGCAGGAGCCCGGCGACGCGTACCCCGTTCTGCCTCTCCTCGCGCTCCCAGTGCGGTTGACTGCGGCGGCGAGCGGTGTATCCGAGGTGTCGTGGAAGCTGGTTGTCATCGCTGCGCACGACCCGCTTGTGCTGGCGAATCAGGTCGGTTCCGTGGCGGCGAAGGTTCTGCCCAAGGTTCGCGAGTGGGTGGAGGACGCGAGCTTCGTGTGCCCTTCGCCAACCCTGGCAGGTACCAGCCTATTTCCTCTGACCTTAACTCGTCTACTAAGATTCGCATCGTCGTTCCTGTACCGACTCGTCAAGGGTAGTAGTAACAGCGCTGTTTTACACCTTTCACTTTCTTCTCGCTTCCCCCAATCCTTCTGCCCCTGTTCCCCCCTTGGCGCCGAAGCAGCGGCAATCAAGTCGTCGCTGCCCGCGGAACACAACCTCTCCCGCGGCTTCCCCAGGGGGTCCGCGCCGGAGGCCTCGTGGCTCGAAGACTCCTGGAAGGCGCAGGACGTGGTGTTGGAGTCGTACCGCACGTGGAAGCTCCTCTGCGCGCCGATTCTCCGCCGCCCCGCGCTGCAGCGCCGCGCGCAGATTGCGGCGCGCACCGTGAGCGCGTGGGAGAAGCTCAGCAGGATCGGCGAAGATAACGCAGCGTGGGGGCTCATTGCGAGTGCCGCCGGCGGCGCTGGCGGTGGTGGCTATGGCGGGGTCCGTAGCAAAGCCTCGCTGCTCGATAACCTGCCGACCCCCAGAAGCCGCCCCAATTTCCAGCTTAATTCCCTAGCGGAAGCTGCTCCCGTGGTTTCAATCGACAATGACAATAACGGGGATACATTTGACAACGCGAACGCCGATTGTTCTGACCAGGAGACGGTTCCTCGGGCGTCAGTGGACGAAGATTACAGGCACCTTAGGCGCACGCGCACGCAGTGGGGTCTGCTCACTGGCCGGCGGGGAGGAGAGAGCGGCGCAGCAAGTAGCCAGCGCAGCATGAGCGGACCGATCCGCGCCGACAGCGCGCGGATCAGCAGCAGCGGGGCTGGCGCGATCGGAGGGACCGGAAGGAGCATGAGCGGCCGCATATTCAGGGCGAGGTTGGGGCGTCTAGACCTCCCGCTGCCTTCGCCCCGATCGATCGTGAGCTCCGCCGTGGGAAGGTACCTCTCCCCTTCCTCCACTGCCAGCTCAGCATCGCTAGAGGATGTCATCGTGGCTCCGCCGCGCTCCCCTAGTGCAAGTAACAGGCGCCTCACGCCGTCCCGCCCTCACGGACTCCCTAAGAGCCCTGCGCCGGTTGCTCCGTCGCGGCTCTTACCGGTAGTACTGCTTGCTATTACCAGCAACCCCGGAGCCCCTGCGGAAGAAAGCCTGGAAAGCGCCCCATCATTCACTCTAGAAGGGTGCGAGGAGGAAGCGCAGGGGGGGGAATACGGTAGAGAGGAGGTGGAGCAGGACGAGAGCAGGCAAACGGCAAGGGATTTGCTTGAGCCAGCTGTGGTGTTTTCAGCGGCCCCCAGCGTTGACCCTTGCGGCAGGAGCAGCAACGGCACCGCAGGCGCATCCCGGGGCAGCAGCTGCGGCGATATGAGCGGGCGGCGCAGCAGCAGCAGCAGCAGCAGCAGCAGCAGCCAAAGCTTGCGGAGCAGCGCAGTGTGCGGCGGCAGCAGCAGCGCGGACAGCAGCCGCGACAGCGGAAGGCAGCCCGAACGCGCGGGTATGCGGAGGCGCCACACGGATAGCGAGTACAGTAGGGCTGTGAGCAGATTTGGCGGAGATAACAGCTACAGTAAGGGCATTAGCCGATCTGTTACAAATATACGCTCTAGTAGCAGGGGCCAGACTGTCGCCGATATCACAATCTCAAGATGCAGCAGTAGCATAGGCACTAAGGATGGCAGTGGCACTCAACAAATAGAATCTTTCCAGCAACCTATGCCAAAAATTAACACTTTGGGAGCGCGACCTTCCACTGCGCATCCGGGTGCTTGCGCTGACATCGTCACCCTCCCTGACAACCCAGTTAACGCCCACTTTGATTCAGAAAACTTCCGATTTCCCCCGAAGAGCTTGCCGGTAGAGGCAGGCGGAACTGCAGCAGCCACAATGGCGATGGCAGGAGCAGTGAGAGCAGAAGCAGCGCATGCGAGCACAAGCATCAGGAACTCCGCGCGACAGCGGCATATGTTCAGCGAGGCACTGGCAATCCCAGGGAAGAGCAAGGGAGGGTCGGAGGAAGCTGCAGGTGCCAGCAGCGCTGGCGATGCTGTTGCTGGCGCTGCTCCTGGCAGCAGTGCTGGTGATGAGAGCCGCAGGGTTTGCCATGATGGTATTGGTACTGGCAGGGCCACCGGGAGCACACAGCTGGAGCGTGCCGGGGGTGAGGCGAAAGCAGCGATTCTGATGGAGTGTGACGAGGGGAGTGGGGCACACACCTCTGCATGTGCCCCTGGCAGCAGCAACCGCAACATTAGCCACATTGGCAAGTGGAGAACCGTACAAGCTATCTCTACTCTCGCTCTGCTCTCCCCGCGATTCTCCACGAACCCTCAACCACGACCCATCAGGCTGCGAGAAGCTGGGCGAGCAAGAACCTGTAACTTTGAGGCAGGAGGAGGAGGAGGAGGAGGAGGAGGAGGAGGAGGAGGAGGAGGAGGAGGAGGAGGAGGAGGAGGAGGAGGAGGAGGAGGAGGAGGAGGAGGAGGAGGAGGAGGAGGAGGAGGAGGGGCAGCTGGTAACTCTGCTGGAATAGCAGAGGGGCAGGGGAAGCCAGTGTTGAGGCTGTGTGAAACAGAGGACTCACTTGACCGCTGCAGCAGCAGCAGGACCAGGGTGAGAGGCACTGGGCTGGCACTGGGGTTGGGGATGGGCAGAGAGAGAGGGGAGGACGGTGCGAGGGGCCAGAAAGAGGTGGTGGATGGAACTGGAGATGGGGGCGCAGGGACAGAGGGAGTGAGGGGAAGTGGTAGCGTTGCTGGGGTGGCGGAGAGACAAAGAGCGGTGCGGGGCTCTCCCTTTGTTCGGCGGTGCGAGTCACTAAAGATGCCTCTCTGCCAGCAGCAGCAAGATTCCCTGTAGCAAGGGCAGGCCGGATCCCTTGTACCGTACCTATGATTGGGTTGGGAGGGTTCTCCTGATACTGGCAAGAAACAAGCACATTCCAACTCGAGGATATGATGTTAATTAAATTAACAGCTGCTGCTAACTTTGGTGATGGCGGGACGTCTAATGACGGCCTTGGCAGCAATTCTACCCTTGGTTTGTGTACCATAACAGCTATTGCTATGTCCCTCATGTCGAACATATTCTAGTATGTTGTTGTAGACTATATAGGGTTGTGCCTTAGAGAGTACAACCCACTAGGTTATACTCCCTTGTACTCGCCCATTCTAGTTATTCTTGCATTCTAACATGGTATCATGAGTAGGTTGGGTCCCGTTCGCCCACCAGCGCTTCCACCCTAGGTCCTAGCCGCCCGTTCCCCCTAGCCGGCCCCGTTCCCCCTAGCTGGAGCGTTCCCCCTAGCTGGCACGTTCCCCTTAGCTGGCCCGTCCCGTCGCCGGCCCGCGCCCGTCCCCTAGCCGGCCCCGCGCCCGTCCCATAGCCGGCCCCGTGCCCGTTCCGTAGCCGGCCCCGCGCTCGTCCCGTAGCCGGGCCCGCGCCCGTCCCATCGCCGGCCCATGCCCGTCTCGTAGCCGGCCCCGCGCCCGTCCTGTCATCGGCCCACGCCCGCCCCCTAGCCGGCCCCGCGCCCGTTTCATAGCCGGCCCCGCGCCCGTTTCGTAGCCGGCCTGGCCCGTCCCGTAGCCGGCCCCGCGCCCGTCTCGTAGCCGGCCCACGCCCGTCCCGTAGCCAGCCCGCACCCATCCCGTAGCCAACCCCGCGCCCGTCACGTAGACGGCCCTGTGCCCGTCCCGTAGCCGGCCTCGCGCCCGTCCCGTAGCCGGCCCCATACCCGTTCCGTAGCCGGCCCCGCGCCCGTCCTGTAGCCGGCCCGCGCCCGTCCCCTCACCGGCCCGCGCCCGTCCACTCGCCGGCCCGTGCCTGTCCCGTCACTGGCCCTGCGCCCGTCTCGCAGCCGACCTGCCCCCGTCCCGGGGCCGGCCCGCGCCAGCCCGTTCTGCACGCCCGGCCCCGTCGCCCAGCTGCCCCTGACGTGCAGCCGGCCCCTGCACCGCGTTGCACCGCGCTGCGCGGCCCTGCCCCGCTCAGCACCGCACAGTACCACACTGCACCGCGCTGCACCGCACTGTACCGCGATGTACCGCACTGCACCGCACTATACCGCACTGTACCGCACTGTACCGCACTGCACTGCACTGTACCGCACTGCACCGCACTGCCCCACACTGCACCGCCCTGCACTGCGCTGTCCTGCACTACACCGCCGCTGCTTCGCTTCTGATGGCAGACTCTGTGCTGCGTTTTGCGCGGAGGGTCATCCGATTGAGTTCGACACGTGGCTCGTCGACCTCCGCCGTCAGCTCACTGGTCAGCGGCAGGACGGCCACTCCTTGGCTGTCCACATCGACGGTACGCTCCCCTGCCCTGATCCCCCTACTGCGCTGCCCGCTGACCCCACGTCTGCTGATCGTGAGTCCGCTGCCACTGCTGCCCTTGCCCGTGCAGTCTGGTTGTCGCGTAACGCTGTCGCACAGCTCGCAATCAGTCATGCCCTTCCCCTGTCTGAGCGTCCCCGCTTTAGGTCGGTACGGACTGCGCAGGAGTTCCTACAGGCTGTTATTGCGTGCTATTCTACCCCATCCTCTGCCTCCGTCGGTCGCCTCATCCTGCCCCTGCTTTTTCCGGACCTCGCGTCCTTCCCCACTGTCGCTGACCTAGCCGCCCACTTGCGCACGCTAGACTCTACCTGGCGCTCTGCCTGCACTGAGGCCCAACTCCGCGTGTTCCAACCCCCCCCCTGTGCTACCCTCTACCTACTTGCCACCCGCCTCCCTGACCTCCTTGCTACTGCCCGCGATCATTTTCTTAGTCTCCACCCCACTGACCTCACCCTCACTGACTTTGTCGACACCCTATCTGCCATAGAGACCTGCCAGCGCTCTATCGCCCAGTCCAGCGGTACTGTGCCGGTCTCTATCTTTCAGGGTAGTGCGCCCGCTCAGTGCACTTTCTGTTACGGATCTGCTGCTGTGGCGGAGACAGCCGCCGCGGCGCAGTTTCGTCCAGGAAAGGGCCGCCGCCCCAAGGCTGGGCGTGGCGGTGGTAGTGGAGGAGGTGGGGGTGGAGGAGGTGGTGGAGCCGGGTCGCCCGCCGGGGGTGTTGACGAGGGCGCTAGGCCTGGCACCGCCGAGCAGCAATTCCAGCAGCAGCAGCAGGTTCCACCGCTCGCTCAGCAGCCGCGACAGCAGCAGTCGCCACAGCAGCAGCAGCCGTCGCAACAACAGCGGCGGGTTGGTCGTCTCCCGTCTGGGTGGCCCGGCGCTGGTGGTGGCGGCGGTCACGGTGGTCGTGCACGTGGCGTGACGTCAGGTGGTGGTTCGGGCGACAGGCGCTGCAAGTACCAGCTCCAGACCGGTCCTCGCCGTGGCCTCGTGTGCGGTAAGATCGGTCACACCCCCACCCGCTGTTTCAGTCGCCTGGATGACCTGCTTCGTCGTTGCTTCGGCGTGTCGCCCGACCTCCCCGACTGGCTCAGCTTGCTCCGCCAGGGTGTTCAGATCTTTGATATCAATATGGATGAGATTAGTTATGCGTTGTATGTGTTGTATGTCGATGACTCTAGTGTGATTGGTTCCGCTTACCCCGTGTTGCCTTGCATAGGTGTGCCTAGCTCAGACTCCCCTGCTGCGTCAGGCATAGGATCCCCTGCTTTGTTTAGCCTAGCCTCCTCTCCCGCTTGTTCGGCCCCTGCCGCCACTGCCGCACTCTCCTTCACCCTTGACTCCGGTGCTTCTCGGTGCTTCTTCCGGGACTCCACTATTCTCACGCCGCTTGCCGCTCCCGCCGCAGTTTCCTTGGCTGACCCTTCCTCAAGCCCTGTCGTCGCTCATAGCTCCACTACCCTTCCCTGTCCGGCGGCTCCTTCGGGCTCCCGTATAGGCCTGCACATCCCCTAGTTCTCTAGGAACCTAGTTGGTGTCGGCTGCCTCCAGGACCTTGGCGTCACCACTACGTTCCCTGGTCACGAGCGGTACGCTGTCTGTACCGAGGCCGCCACTGGTGCTCCCCTCACCACGTTCCCCCGGGACCCGGTGTCCGACCTGTTCACGCTGGACACCGCTCGACCCCCGGTTGGGACGTCTTCCCAAGGTGACTGTGTCTCCTCAGGTGGGCTGCGGCTTGCTCGTGTCGATCGCTTACTCACCTGATGCTACTGTGGCACCACCGTCTAGGTCACCTTGCCCTCCATCGTCTTTGTCACATGTCTCAACACGGTCTAGTCTTAGGTCTCCCTAGGTCGTTCCCTTCGCTCCCCTCCTTACCCGCGCCGCCGTGCATCCCCTGCGTCAAGGGCCAGCTCCGCCGTACCCCTCACTCCTCCTCGTTCCCCCCCATGACGGCACCCTTGCAGACCTTGCACATGGACGTCTGGGGCCCTGCCCCCGTCCATGGACCGCGTCATGAGCATTAATTCCTCGTCCTTGTTGACGACTACACTCGTTACACCACCATGTTTCCCCTATAGCGGAAGGCCGACGTGCCTGACGTTCTTATCCCGTGGCTTGTCTCTGCTCGTGTGCACAGCGGCCTCACTGTGTTGCGTCTTAACTCTGACCGAGGTGGCGAGTTCACCTTTGGTTTCCTTGGTCGTTTCTGTCGTGCGGAGGGCATCACCCAGACGTTCACCTTGCCGGACTCCCCGCAACAGAATGGGGTCGCTAAGCGACGCATCGGTTTGGTCATGGAGGTGGCTCATACATCCATGATCCATGCCGGTGCACTCGATTTTCTGTGGCCGTTCGTCATCTGCTACGCCGCTCACCAGCTTAACCTGCGGCCGCATCCTCAGCGGCCGCAGGTTTCGCCGACCCTTCTCTGGACCGGGTCTCCTGGTGACACTCCTGCGTTCCACATCTGGGGCTGCCTTGCTCACATTCGTGCCTCTGGCACGGACAAGCTCACTGCCCGCACTGTCCCCTGTGTCTTCCTAGGTTTTCCCCTTGAATCGTCTGACTGGCACTTCTACCACCCACCGTCTCATCGTTTCTTTCACTCTTGCGACGTCATCTTTGACGAGTCCGTCTCCTTCTACCACCACTTTCCCCACCGTGGTCCCCCGGTTACTCCCCCCCTATTCCTGGTTCCCCCTCCCCCGGTCGCCCCTGCTTCCCCACCTCCCCACCCTGCCCCGTCTGGTGTGTCTCACTTCACCTCCCTCCCGTCGGTTGTCCTGGTTGAGGAGTCTGCTGGCTCTAGTGGCCCTACGGCGCAGTCCTCGCCGCCTGCCCTCTCCCCAGTGTCTCCTCCTTTGCCGTTGCAGTCGCAGCCGCAGCCGTTGTCGCAGCCGCCCCAGCCACAGCCGTCGTCGCAGCCGCCGTAGCAGCAGAACCAGGTGTTTCGTCCGGGCACTTCGTGCAACGGGAGCGACGCCTCAACTGCGATGTCATCATCATCATCGCCAACAACGAGAACCTGAAAACAAACAGACAAGGAGTGGTTCAACTTCAGTCAATGGAGACAAACGTCATACTACAACTCAACAAAGTTCTCATCGTCGACAACTTGGGATACAATCTGCTAAGCGTCAGCCAATTAATGGCGAAGGGAATTCACTTGGAATGTGACTCGGACGCCAACGAGTTTCGACTTTACCACGGAAAGGGCAACCTCTTCATCGATCGTGCTCTCTTAAAGTCGGGCGTCACAACTCAAAAGTTTCCAGTCAGACGGGGCACTGGAATACCAGTCACAATGATTCAGGAACTACTGGGCAGAAAGAGGCATCAGACGCCTGGTGTCCCTGCCCTACGCTCACCAGCAGCAGGGGGTCGCAGAGAGGATGAACATAACCTTGCAGACGACGATGCGGAAGCTGCTCCTGGGGATGAGACTGCCCAGCACGCTTTGGACTGACGCGATGACGCATGCAGTCCATCTGCACAATTTGCTGTCCTCGTCATCACTTCCCAACAGCGCATCACCACACCTGCTGTGGACAGGAAAGAAGGGCAGCACAAAATTACTTCGAGTCTTCGGCTGCATGGTACAGTAAAGACCCCACACAGCCCGAGCAGGTCGATTCTCTCAACGAGCACGGTGGGGACTACACCTCGGCATCGCAAAACATTTCCAAGCATGGAAACTTCTCGACATTCAGGACAAAACCACAGTGGC